TGGGCTCGAATCCCACCCGTCCTGTTACTCTCCAGCTGTCACTATCAATGAAAAGCCCAAAGAATTATAAAAAAAAGAGGAAAAAAAAATAAAATCATGTTTGGTTGCTTGTAATTAGAAGTCAACAAATCCAATGTGTCACATATACAGTTAAATCGTAGAACCCATTTGAAACGAGTTGATTCCAACAGCAAACAAATAGACACAAAGCCATTTGAGTCTCTAGTCAACAGGTGAAATAAATGTTTATTCCTACACAGTTTGACTGAAAACAGAATCAAAGTTATTGTCGTAATCTCCAAATCAACAGGTGAAAAAAAAAGAAACGATGTCCTGTACGTACAGAATGTTTTCAAAAGAGCAGGTATGAAAATAAAGTTAGTTTTTAATGTTTCTGATGTGTTTCTAATGTCACAAAAAATGACAGAATCTCTTCATCAACAGGTGACAATAAATAGGTATTCCTGTGCAGGTAATGCAGCCCAATGTGTGCCATACTGAATGTAGAACGGAGCACAATAGATCCGCTCTGTGGTGAGAACAGATCACATAGAAATCCACTAGTTGATCAGCTGTGAGCAGGAAACATGTTTGCATATAAAAACACAATTATTCATATTTCCACCTTAATTCCACCTTAATAATCAGAGCCAGTGAACCAGCTTTAAGGTCATGTCCAGGTCTGCTCAGTTTGACCTGCACAGGCACATCCCTCCACATTAAAACTTCCTGTTAATTCCTTTGGCACACACACACACACACACACACACACACACAGTGTATACAGTAGTGCTGCACACACGCTTGTCATCGATGGATGCACATGTTTTCCTCAACGCTCACACACCTTGCTTGCTTGGAGCATCAACACACTGCATGGCTTCCTAACGTGCACGCGCGCCAGTGCACGTAAAGGTACACACACACACACACAGGGGCAGGAAAGGCGACCACGCCAGGCAAAGCAAAGACAGTCCTCTGTTTCCCCGAACAGTCAGCCAACCGACCTGTTACCCAGCAGCCACAAGCCTCTCCGTCTGACACACACACACACACACACACACACAGGCGCGCGCACGCACGCACGCGGGCACGCACGCCTCGACTCTCCTCTGGAAAGGGTAACAGCGTTCCTCCTGACACCTCCAGGATCTGAATAAAAACGCAAAGTGACGCGGAACAGCCGGTAACCCGCCGGGCTCCGGTTCTTGTGTGCAGCTGTAAACATGCAGTGAGGGAGGAGGAACAAAAATCCAAGCCCCGTTACCGTTCTCTCCGCGTCGGGTCCTGCTGGATGCTCGGCTTGGTGGGCGCCATCTTCCTGCAACAATTATTTGATTTCTTACTTTCTGTTCTCTTCCCTCTTTTTTCTCTCTGCTCGGATTTATTTGGACGCGGAGGCGCGGCGGTGCGCTGCGCCCTGACAGCAATGCGTCATGGTCGGTGTGTTAAGACAAAGCCATGTCCGTGTGTGTGTGTGTGTGTGTGTGTGTGTGAGAAAGAGCGTGCGTGCGGTGCGTGGCGTGCGTCTCGTGCTTGTCTCTTTCCTCCGCCGCCGCTCAGGAGCGTGGAAACAACGGGCGGTGGAGGCGAAGGCGAGGAGCGGGCTGCAGCAGCAGAGGCATGCCGAGCGGAGTGAGGGGGGAACCCGGGGTGGATGCCTCTCAGATCCCGCTGTCTCTCCCCTCTCTTCTTCTCTGTCTCTCTCCACGCACACACAGCTTCGGTTTGGCACTACAGAAGAATTTCCTGCATGCGCTCCGGAGGAGAAAAAAAGAGCCAAACAGGCGCGTCAGATCTTCACATTCTCGCCGCCGCTGCAGCGCCTACATCCCCGGTACAATCCCCGCGGCGGAGCGTCGCTGTGCGGTCACAGTCTCTGTGGTTATCCGGAGCATTTTTCCCTCCTCTGGCTGCTGACAGGAAAAAAAAAGGACACCACACATCTCCGGTATTTTCTCCAGCCCCGGCGCAACAACGCCACTCAGTTGCAGTTGGAGTCAGTTTGTGTGTGTGTGTGTGTGTGTGTGTGTGTGTGTGTGTGTGTGTGTGTGTGTTATTTTTTATTTAATTCTCTTCCTGTATTACAGGTTGCACCGCGGGGCTATTATCCAATTTTTATCCATCACAAAAAAAAGCACCACCCAGCGTGCGCGGGGGGTGATGGGTGATTTATTTGGATGGTTGCCCTGTAAATCAGATCCATGCACCTCCACCCCCCCACCACCCCCTTCCTCGCCACCCTCCTTCCTCCAGTGTCATAATAAACACATCATAGCAAATGTCTCACTCCAGATTCCAAAATCAGAGAGCAACTTTCTGTGTTACTGCGTCTCTGTGCTGTTTGGGTGTTTGCGTCTGTCTGAGAGGACGCTGGAGTTTGTCCCTCTGAATCCGAGCCCAGCTCCTTCTATCGGCCCCTAAAATCAAATTATCCTGCTCACTTTTTATATCTGAGGCCACTAAAACATATTTCCCTCCAGGCTTTGATGTTTGCACGTCAGCGATGGCTCATTATCCTCCAACAGAAACTGCCCCCCCCCCCACATTCATTTAAATTCCTCCTTTTTTTTATTATGTATAATTCATTGTAACCTAATCGGTGTGCTGTGTGATTAACCCCCGGGCTGCAGCCCTGGAAGCTGAAAAGCCTCCCTCTCTATACCAATGACCTGTCAAGGTCAAAGGCATGCTGGGTATTCTCCACACAAACACGGGGTTACAGGCGCTGCTGTGGTGGAAAATAAAGCCTGGAGAGGCGAACCGCGACCTCCAGCCGACGATCGTCATGAGCTGAACGGCTCGCCGGTCCGCGCACGTGCAGCTGTGTGCTCGGAAAAGGCGTCAGCGTGTGCTTCCGCCTCATTCCGGTGCACTGATCATTTCACAGCGGACAGAAACACGACCTAATGTGCATTTTCAAATCAAAAGTGAGCGTTCCATAAACTGAGGTCAGTTTCGGCTGCGTCCCTGGTTGGCGATTTGTCTGTCTAAATGTGAAGAAGTGCTTGGTAATGTCGCTTTTTGGCCACCAAAACCTGAAAAGGTCACAGGTTTGACCCCGCAGTTGAGCCTTGACGTCATTCATGCACTCAAACCATAACCCTAACCCTAACTCTAACCCTGGGCAGGAAAACAAATCAAATCTGAAGAGTTTTGGGGTTTTTATCGAAGCACGGACGGAGGTTTTGCTCCGTGTGTTGTGTTTCTGAACCGAGACGCAGCTTTTTTTCTTTAACCTCTGTGAAACAACTCGCTCTGTTCTCTCCCCGGACGAGGTCTGGCTGCTCCTTCTGTCTCCATCTCGGCTCTGCTTACTGAGAGCAGTCAAACGGAGGCGACGTGGATAATGGAGCGTAATGTATAAACATATTAACTCCCAGCTGTTTGTTGGGGGAAACATATAGAGCGAGGGGAAGAGGGGCGGCTAGACGACGGGGGCCAGATTCTTTAAAACCGTCTTGTTTGGCTGAAGCCTCTGTAGCTGTTGGACACAAGTAATTGAGTCTTTGCCGGTGAGTTTTAAAGAGAGACCTTTTAGGCCTGCGTTTCAACTCGGGGGCCTTTAAGGGTCCTCGAGGAGATGTGACGGGTCCCCAGCTGCCAAGATGACGACATGGTTAGATTCCAGCAGGTTTGGTGTCAGAAGGAATGATCAGAGAACGTGTCAACCCACTAAGTCTAATCCTCGCCTCCCACATATGGACACAAACACAAGGTTGTGTCCCGTATGGGGGTCTGGGGTCTCTGTGAAGCCCAGAAGCCCTGCTTTAAATAACAATACGGCCCTTATTCTCCTCGTATTTGTCGCTTTGGAGGGCTGAGACGCTCTCAGCGCACTCGGAGAGAGAGAGGCCCCGGCTGTGATTTATGTCGTGTTTGCTCCCCACAGCTTTTAGACTTTACACACACACGCACACACACACACACACACACACATAGCTACACTCCATAATGCCTAGAGTTCTTTCGGGTAATAAGGCAAAAGAGTGTGTGTGTGTGTGTGTGTGTGTGTGTGTGTGTGGGGTGTGTTTGGGGCCCCCCCACAGCTCCGGATGATTAGAAAAAACAACCCTACTGAGCGTCCGGACGGGGAGGCAATCATTGAGATTCAGATTGGAGGGGAAATAAGGAAATAACAGGGCGATGGATGGAGTGAACTGTCGCCAGAAAACAGGTTGGACTGGAGGAGCCGCAGCTCCACGACCAGCTGAAAGACACTCAACGCGCTTTATCTTTCCCAACGAAATAACTCTGTCCTCTATTTCCGATGAATCGCCGTCTGTGTTTCCACTGAATTACCTGGATTTCACTCCTCTATTTCCACTAAATCGCTGTTTCTCCTGTCGCTTCATCCCTCTTTACACCTCTTTTCACAAACACTTTGAAACAGGAAAAATAATCCCAAAACAAACTGCGGATATTGAATTTAATCCTCTTGTGAGGCATCAAAGTCACCAGATTCTCCTTTTTCCCTTTCAGGTTTAACAGAATAATTGTGGGAGAAAAAAAAGCAAATGACTGAGGGAAAGGCCACATTTTTGTAACATTCATCCCAACGCAGACCCCCGCCAATAAGGATAAAAAACCCTCTTCATCCACACATGGCACAGAAGGATGTACCTGCAGACGAGGGTTATGGATGATCTCTAAAACTTTGATTTAAAATACCAACTGATAGCTGGAAAGCTTCATGATATCTAAAAAAAAAAAGATCTTTAAAAAATATCAAACCAAAGAATGTCCACTGAGTTAAAGATGCCCAACATGTCCCCTGAAAAAGCTCCTATAATAGATTTTTGTGAGATTTTAGGGGGATAAAACACAAATATCACAGCCAAATCTATTATAGGAACAAACTGGAGACAGAATTCTCACTTTTAAGCACAAACACACTTCAGGAATATTAAAAAGTATCTTCCAGAAATGCGCACTTTTCTACATTTTACATCAAACTCTCCACGACGCTACAGGTCGTTCTTCTGCAGCTCCCGACGTACCTTTGCTGGTAGCCGGTGAGTCCCTGCACGCCCTGCGGGGTCCCGTTCGTGGCTCCGGGGACCGGCACCCGACCCAGCGGGGGTCCGGTCACCATCCCGCCGCCTCCACCGCCTCCGCCTCCAGCCCCGGGTCCACCGCCTGCCGAAGCCGTCACCTGGACGCTGAAATCCGGGAAGATCCTGATCATGGTCCCCGGCCGTCTCCGATGCGCTCCCGCGTCTACTTTAACAACCTCCTCCTTCCTCCCAACGCGGACCGGTCACCGATCTCTGGGAGCACTGGGAGCACTGGGGGGTGATTTAGCAACAGAAGGCAAACAACAAGCTTCTTGTGTTGGTTGTTTTTAGTCTTATTTTCTTCTCCAACCTTCGGATATAACTCTCAAGCAAATCCGGATCATGGTCCCGGTGCGCAAAACAAACAGTCACCAATCAATGGATCAATAGATGAACGGGATTAGTGAGTGTATACTGCACGAGCAGAAACGATCAGAAATCTTTTGCTTTATTATTTATTCTTCTTTTTCTTCCTCTCGGCTCTATCCTTCAGAGATAACCTCCGTGCACCCCCGTGCAGCTCCGGATCATGGTCCCGGTGTCTCCGGTGCGCGCGGTTTCCCCCCTTCTTTTTTCAGTCAATGTGATCAATAGATGAGCGGATCTGAGAGGTGATTATTTCACCGATTAAAAGACAGACGAGCAGCCGTGACTGTGGCGCTGTCTCCCGGTGCGGGAGCTCCGGACTCACACGGGCACCGCCGCCGGCTCTCCATCCGAGAAAGGCATCCGGTCCCCGGCTATATCCTCCTGCCTGGTGCCTGCCGGTGGGTCGGTGGGTGTCTGTGGGAACGGCGGACCTGAAGGAGAGCAGTCAGTCAGTCGGTCGGTCAGTCAGTGAGTGAGCGCGCGGCTCTCAGCAGCACGAGCTCGGCAATGACATTGGTGTGGTACAGCGGCGGCGGCAAAGTGTGTGTCGGTATGTCGGCGAGCGGCTGCGTGTGTGCGCGCGCGCGTGTGTGTGTTGTCCTCTGCGCTCGAGAGAGAGAGAGAGTGAGAGCGAGAGAGAGAGAGCGAGAGAGAGAGAGATATTGACTGATAGCGCTGTTTGTTCAGCGGGAGGACATTTCCTCTGCCTTTATTGTGCTGAATAACGCACTGTGGCTTTAAACTGGACTTTTATTTTAAGGCAGCGCCGATAATAAAGAGCCCGTTTTATAGAAAATGGCTCCTTTTTAAATCTCAGTCTGTTTCGCCTCATAAAAAGTAGAAAAAGGGAGCCAAAAATGTGAAACGAATACACCAAAACTTTGAGCAGTGCGCACAGACGAAGTTTAAAACTCAGAAAACCTTCAAAGTAGAAACCAAAGTCCTCACAGCTTCACAGTCTCTGGAACCGGTTTCTAAAAAGAAGAGCCATAACGGACGGTCTGTCCCGCTTTCTCTGCGCGTAATGGACACATTCCCAAAAACCAAAGAGTCGTTTTTAAGCTCATGAGAAGTGTGTGTGTGATTTATTCCAACCTCAGGAGGTCAAATATTCCCGGTGCATCTGTTACTCTGGGAATGGAGGTGATGTGATGGTGGAGGAGAGGAGGAGAGGAGGAGAGCTGCTGTCACAGTTTGTGTTTGAGTGAGGTGTGTTTTCTCCCTCTCTCATCTGATCTCCGAACAGCTGAAGCCGCTCTGCTCTCCGCTCACTGGAGCTCCGTGTGTGATCAGACTCCTGAATAAAGTCATATCCACACACACACACACTCCCTCTCTCACACTGTCTCCTCCCCTTTCTCTCTCTCTCTCTCTCTCTCTCTCTCTCTCTCTCTCTCTCTCTCCCCCATTGTCTCGCCACTCACTTTCCACTGTTTGGTTGTCTATGTTGCATATTTTGCTGAGCTCAATGGAACCAAAAATAACAATTCAGTCACCATCTTGTCGCATTTTATGAGCAGAAGCGTGCAGTTTTCCTGAAAGATAAATGACTCCAAAGACAACCCCTGGAAAACCTGGAAGGTTATTGAACAACAGTGTAGCACTGTTGGAAACATTTCCAAAATCCTCATCGTCTCTTCTATCCTGCCTTTAAACTGAACAATACAGTCATGACCTTGCAACCAGCAGCTGACAAAACCTCAAGGTCCACTCACATGTTTTTCACCATGTGGCTAAAATCACATTTATCACTTATCAAATTAAAATAACTTTATTTATCCGTTAGGAACTTCATTTGTGCAAAGGCATAAGTGCAACACATAGCCACAGCAGGGTGCCGACTACAGGGGGGCCAGGGGGACCTTAGCTCCTCTGAACAAGTCATGAGCTCCCCTGAAAACCAGATTTGTGAAATGTTTTCTAAAATATTGAGAATATGCAATTTTTTACCATGCTTTCCTATTTTTCTGTCTTTATCATCATGGATTGATGACAATAATGGATGTATGACTCATGCATGAGGGTGATTCATCCCTAATTTACTCATAAAGATTCTCTCCATCACCATCGTAGTGTGGTGGCGCAATATCCTAACTTCATGCACTTTCACTCAAAAAACATTCTTAGTGACGCTCAGTCTGCCCACCGAAACGCCATTATTCCCTAAAGTAAGTGACAATTAGCTTACTTAGCATTAAGAAACAGCTAACCTCGTACACCAGCCAGCACCTCTAACGCGCACTGATTAACACGCTGTGTCTTGTTTATTTAATCTGCACACAAACTGGTTAAAAACTGAACCCGGTCACACTTACTAGTCGTCATATACTGCAGCTTGGTCAGTGGCCCTCCTCTTCAAAATCTGACACTGACGGAATCCCTCTAGCATAATTTGTGGACACGCCTACCATCAAAGTCAGGTGACGTAATATAAAGGCAGAGAAAGTCCACAAATGGAGGTGGAAGGGTGGATGGACAGCTCAAACAAACACAGGACTTTAACCCAGGAGACTGCTGTTTGTGTCCACATTTTGTCCTTCCTTTAAGCCGGGTCATGGCACAATGGGGGCTCGTCCGGAATCATGTGACGTACTTCACGTAAGTTAAGTTTTTTTCATTTACTTCAGTTACATCAGGTACATAACATGACGTACAATATGTTTCTCATCCTAGCCAAGTATTTTTGGAGCCAACCCTAACCAAACTGCGACCACGTTTGTGTGAAAACAGCAACCACGCAAGTTTTATTTTGAAAGTTTAACTGGATTTTGAATATTTATTCTCACTACCTTGACCGCGGATCCCTGTTATATTTTGAAGCTGAAGGCAGTAATTCACAAGTTGGGGGTGAGAACGTGTTGGAAAAACATTTCGTTGTTTATGGGGAAGTTATGTCCTGGAACTATTTCTTGACAAACAACATTGTATAAATCCGCTCATAGTGACATTACCCATTTTGCTGCCGCGTTAAGCCTTGGGTCTGGCATAATTTGGTAAAAATATGTTTAGAAAAAAAAAGTTCTAGTTCTAAAATGAAATGACAGAAACATGAAAAAAATCCTCCACTCAGTCACTGTGAGCTATTAGCATTATGCAAAGTGGGCCTATAAGAACCCTGTTAGCCTATAGCAAAGTAAGTGTAGCTTGTTCCTTCAGTTGAAGTTGACTTATGTTTTGCTCCTCCTTCAGAGCTTGGCCGCTGAGACACGTTTGCAGAACTAAAACTCTAATTTGCATCCTGACATTTTCAGCATGGGGAATCGAACCACCAACTCTGGTGGTTTTACTGCTCTCCTCCTCCTTATTGAGCCGCCCAGGACACATTTTCAATATTTCATCCTCCTCTGGACCCACCGAAACCCCTGCTGGACCCCTGCTGGGACTCCGAGCCTCACTTTGAGAGTCCCTAATAACCTACAGTTCTCGTCTGTCCTCCGAAACAAAGCATTGCACTAATAAAACGTCCCAATTGAGCTGATTAAATACCAATAAAAACACACAGCTCGCCACTCTGCCAGCCTGCAGTCTAAATTGGATCGCAGCTCTAACCAGCAGCTCCTAATGAAAACCACCGCTGCAACCCAGCCTCGCTCGCCTGCAGTACAGTTTACCTCGCTCTCCCGCTCTCTCTGTAATGAAATCAAATGAATTGGACTGGAGGTTTCAGGGGAGACATGCTGGACCCCCTTATAGAATTAGGACTGAACAGTGTGTGTGTGTGTACTTGTACATCCATCTTTGTGTGTGTATTTAATGTGATGTGCGTCCCTGTATTTTCTAAGTATGACCACTGACTCATGAGTTCATGTGCACGATATGCATTTGATATAACATGCATTTGCCCCTGCAACGTGCGTGTGTGGTTGGTTTTTTTATGTGGGTGGGCTAGTGTACGTGTGTGTGTGTATGTGTGTGTGTGTGTGTGTGTGAGTGAGTGTGTGTGTTTACATTACAGGCTGTACTGACTGTATTAGTGAGCTGTGACCAGGTAAAGTACAGCAGACAGAATCAGGACAGTCAACCTGCTGTTATCCCTCAGGACAACACACACACACACACACACACACACACACACACACACACACACACACACACACACACACACACAGCTCCAATAGCAAAACAACAAACACTCTGCCTCCATCAGAAACCCTTTCTCACAGAATCTTTGAGGCTGAAATTTGTCCATAGCACCACATATTAAAATCTTATTTAGTTAGTATTTGATTTAGACAATTCCTGACCCTAACTAAAATTCCCATTTTAAACTGAAGCTGATTAAATATTTGAGATTGTTTGTTGCTTTTGTGTAGTGAAGAAGAATTGTAACTGGTGTCTCTGAGCCTCTCCTGAACCAAAACATAACTGACAACCTTGCACTTACCATCGTCTCAAATTAACCATCAGCCTCGGCTCAGATTTATGCTTTTATAGGTAAAAATAGTTCAGAAGTTCCTTTCTGACCTTGGACACACACATTCTCACTCTAAATACTCTAAATGCTCTTGGCCCTAATATGATGCTGTAGGTACCCCTCTAGCGTCATTTTTGGATGCTCAGGACTCCGCAGTCAAGTTAGCAACAATAAATATGCAATGTCTGTATACACTTTCAAAATAAAGCTTGTGCAGTTAACATTTTGAAACGGTCGCAGTTTGGTTACTTGATTAGTTTCGGAAAAGACCGTAACTTGTGTTTTGTACCTGTAACTTTATCACATAAATAAAATGTAACTTGCATTATTCTGCTATTTTTTTTTTTTATCACATTAAGACCTTAATTCACAGTTTAAGATAAGAAAATAGTTGCAAAATGGGCTGTCATGGTTGCCCTGTAATGTTAACTCATCCTTGGGGGAAAATGTGTCTGTCAAAGTGTGTCCAATAAAGAAGTAGTTGTTTCTGCCACTGACAGGCTCAGGTTGTTATTGTCAGTGTCTGACAGCATTATGGAAAGGATCCCTACAGAGATAGACCTTTAGTTTAACACAAACAGCCGTAATATCACTATCACTCTCTACCAGACTCCATTAATAAAAATGGTCATTTTATCCATTTTCACATCCTAACTTCTTTCGAACTGGAGGTAAACAGAATAAGCTCACCAAAACCGTCTTTGTTGGTATTTTCAACAATAACCAACTCTGGTTTGCTCAAAATAAATCTTTAATTCACCAGCGTAGCACTAATTAACATGCAATAACATGCACGCATGGCCAGACAGGCTCTGTAAACTAAGCACAGAGAGGCTGCGATAGCAACACAGGCAAACTCTCTGCTCAGGACACCATGAGTACATTAGATATTTATATGGCCAATTGTTGTTTGCTGCTATACTAATGTATTACATCTCATACCTATTATGTATTATGTATATGTATAAGTTACACATGTTGTGTTTACTTTGTCAGTAATCACATTAATCTCAAAAATTCTCAACACTACAGGTGAGTTCTATAGATTGAATGTTGCTACCCAAATTCACACATACACACTCTTTCAGGTTCAGTATTGTCATCCACACACACAGCTACCATCAGCTGTCATCAGTTTTTCGGACTTGCTGTAAAACACAACAAAAGTCAATAATTCCCCGTCATGTCTCTCTAAATCCATTTTGGAGGCAGCCTGTCATCTCCGCAGACACGCATGCCTTTCTATTAAGCCGACCATCAGTCCGTTAAAGATCACATGTCTCTGTTTCCTCATTTGAGTTTTATTTTCTCAAGACAGCCGATGACAGAGAAATCATCATTTTTACTTTCAGAAGATCAGATTTTAGACAAAACTAACACACTGAGTTTTTTAACGAGCGATGACTGACGAGCAAAAAGCGTGTTTGCAAAAAGATGACAAGTGTGACCAATTTTTATTTTCACATTTCAAAGAGTGACAAACACACTTTCCTCAGGTTTACACTTAAGTCCTAAAACCAATGGCTGCCAATCAACAACTTTCATGTTGAAGAATACCTGATTAAAGAACTAAACTAAATAACAAAATTGATCATCATTGCTTTCCAGAAAGACCCATATTATTTTTATATAAGGTTAGGTTAGTTTAGGCACAAAACAGTGCGAACAAAATCACCACTTTTTGATTTGATGAACGATAGAAACACTGACAGCCAATCAAAATCTATCCATGTTTGTATGTTTCAGGTAGTCTTCATGTTTGTTTCCAGCTCCAGGCCTGCCACAATTAAATAAACAATTCAAACAACCACTAAGAAATCTGCACGACCAATCACCACAACTTCTCAGCAAAC